GATGGCGAGAAAAGAAGGTTTTGTGTCTCCTATACGGTGGATGTAAACATCTGGTTTGTACGTAGGATTAAATGTTTCGGCTCCACAAGCTACAAAAACTCACCAAAGTAAAAACAAAGAGACACAAAACGGAAACCGACCACAAAAAAGACACAACGATCACAAAAATACACTAAAGTGACGACAAAAAGACGCGACTTGACAACAGAAAGACACACATTGACCATAAGGAGACCCAAAACCACCACGAAGACCCCAACAGCGACTGCGGTTCCGGCGGTTCTGACCTATGACGGCGCCGTTGGCTTCGCTGTGGATCGTGCTCAGGCGCTTCAGCTTCATCATGGCCTTGGCCTCCTTTCGCTTCTGCCGGCGGCGCTTCAGGTTCCCGTTGAAGAAGTCCACCACCTGCAGCGGCGACACACAACAGTCACACACAGCGGACGCACACACCGGCTGCTTCTGGCCGAGCGGGTCGGAACCGGGCCGCTACCTGTCGGCGGCACCAGGCCAGGCCCCTGGTGATCCGGTGGATGGCGATCTGCAGGTTGTTCATCTCGCCGTCGTCGTCCGGAGCCGAGAGGTTGTCGGAGCTGAAGCTGCTGAGGAGCAGAGCCAGGAAGAGGTTCAGCAGCTGGGGACACAGAACCAGAGAGGCCCGGGCCACGTCAGAACACCCATCTGGGTCTGAAACTACACCGTCTGAGTCGGTTCTGATCCAGTTGCTGCGCCACCGCCTCAAAATTCATCCTCCTTCTATATTCATATTTTATTATTATGGTTTCAGAATCTGGAATTTTTCAATTTTCACCCTCAAAAAAACCCCGAAGCCATTTGAAAGCTTCAGTATCTCCAGAAACAAAACTCCCACAGACATGAAACCTGGTGAAGACGCAGAAAATATTCTGTTCACCACATTCAGATAGTTATTCGGCTCCATTGGAGGCTAAAATTTGAATTACTGACCCGTAAAAATGGTAAAAAGTGCATTAAAAAAACACAAAAGAAGAAGAAAACAAAAACCCGGAGCCATTTGAAAGCTTCAGTATCTCCAGAAATAAAACTCCCACAGACATGAAACCTGGTGAAGACGCAGAAAATATTCTGTTCACCACATTTAAATAGTTAAATTGTTCCATTAGAGGACAAAGGTTGAATGAAAATGGTAAAAAGTCCACTAAAAAAACACAAGAGAAGAAGACGAGGATTTGCCACGATGATATTTCACCAAAGACTGCATTAGATTTTATTCAGACGTCACTTATTTGTTATTTGTGACCTGAAATTAAGTTCTGTCAAATATTTTGTCTGAGTTTTAGGGAGTTTCACGTTTTCAGAATCTGGAATTTTTCTATTTTCACCTTCAAAAAAAACCTACGGAGACATTTTGGAGCTTCACTGTGTCCACAAGCCAAAGTGCCAGAGACATGAAACCTGGTGGAGCCGCAGACAGAACAGTTACATACAAATGACAAGTTTCCAATGATCAGCCCAAGAAAAGAGGAAAACATGAAATAAAACAGACACCAGCTTGTACACGCCTGTTAGGGAATAAACACGGTTAAACTGTTTGTGAAAGCTGCTGAAAAACAACAACAACAACAACAACAACAAGCACTTCTTATAGAGTCCACACACACACACACACACACACACACACACACACACACACNGTCTCTTTGTGATCATTTCGGCCTCTTTTTGCTGTTATCTCCGGTCACTTTGCGTGCACACGGTTGGCGGCAGCAGAAGCGAGCAGCTCCAGGCTGAAGGCGTCCTGCCGGCTCAGGTGTGGGTCTGTGGAGGTGAGCTACCTGGGAGCCGGGCAGCAGCAGACCGGACTCCCTCCTCGCTGCTGCTGCTGCTGCTGCTGCTGCATTATTCAGCCGTCTATGTAGGTCACACACACCTGGACCAACAGGAAACCACCTCACAGCCACAAACTACACCTGGCTGAATTATTCACACGTCCAAATGTTACGTGTTTGTCTAAAACAGAGTCTGCTACACAATTACTGAAAAGAGACACACAACAGGACCACAGAGACACACAACAGGACCACAGAGACACACAACAAGACCACAAAGAGACACAAAATGACTCATCTGTGGTCTTGTGTGTCTTTGTGGTCTTGTTGTGTGTCTTTGTGGTCTTGTGTGTCTTTGTGGTTGTTGTGTTTCTTTGTGGTCATTTTGTCTCTTTGTGGTTGTGTTGTGTCTCTTTGTGGTCGCTGTGTCGTCATCCGTCTCTCTGGTCTCCTCCGCTTGTGGTGAACGTCGGTTGTAAATGACTTCCTCCGTTCACGGCGTGAGAACATGAAGCTCTGCCTGTGAGCTCGTTCATGCGTCCACTCGCTGATTGGTGGTCGCGTCAGAGGCCGGCTCACCTTTTCATCGTTACGTAACCGGAGCCGGAGTCTATTAAAACCGAGAGGCTTAACAGCTTCTATTTACAGTCGGCCGCTTGTGCTCTGAGAGCAAACGGCAGAGGACGGAGCTGGAGGCAGCAGGCGGACACAAAGACCAGGCTGAAGACGGCCTCGTGGGGCGTTTAATGGACACTGGGAAAAACAAGTGTTGATGTGGCAGCAAGGAGGCCAAAGAACTGTGAAAATACCAGCAAATGTCTGTGGAATAATCACTTATATAGAATAATAATAATAACTTCAAATAAAGTGAAATGTTGTGATTTGAGAGCCACACATTGTAAAGGATTAAACCACTGTTCATAAAAGCAACATGTACAATAATACTGTTGTTTTTATTTCTATTTACTTTCTCTTATTTAAAAAAAACAAACAAAAAAACAAACTGATTTCAATAAATTAAAACTGTAACTTTACACACAACAACACAGATTTTGCTCATATCCGTAATTTAATAAATAAAAAAGATTTAAACAAAAACCTCCATCACCACATATGATCCATCTCTGTATGGACATTAGTGTTATTTAGCTTTATGAACATTCATTTTTTATTTAAATATAGTAAAAACTGTGTTTACATTTTTTTTTTAAATTAACAAATGTTGGAATAATATCGATTTTATCGATTTAAATTGAGTAAAAAAAATTGAAAAAATACTAAATTTATGCAACAGAATGAAATGTTTGTTTGTTTTTGATTGCTTT